GGGGGCGTCTCAATCATGTGGACATCTTTGGGAATGGAGGGAAAAATAAGTGATGGTATGGTCGTTGCTTTTTACGTTTCAAACTGATCCTCCCGGCAGGCTGAGCCTGCCTGAGCGTCGGATCCCCGCAGCACCGTTCCTGGGAAGGTGGGGCCCGGCTTCTCCCCGGTGAGTATGCTTCTGTCATTTTATGATCCTTTCTGCAGTTTGCCTGAGCCTCAGCTGCGTGAAAGCAGTGGCATCGCGGAGTGGACACTGCGTCTTGTTCGGTTTTGAGGATCCGTAATTTTAGGAGAGTGGTTCCCTGCCCCCCACCCCCTTAGCTACTGTATTTTGGCCCGATTGCCTGGAGAAGTTTCTTAGCCGTTAATTGTGACAATGCAGATACTTTGCGGGGCATGATGTTGTCTTACAAGAGACAGGGACGCTGGACTGGGAAGCTGCAGCTGCTTGAGACTCTGGAGGCAGAGTGAGGTCCCGAGGTGGAGGTGGGGAGGTGGGTGCCGACCGGCGGCTGAGGTTGGCCGGCTTCCGCTTCTCAGCGGCCAGGAGAGAAGGCGCCTGAGCAATTTCTGGCCGCGTGGTCTGAGTGCCCAGTTTTAGTGCAATACATACAATTGAGAGGCAGAATTTTGGCTTCCCTCTCTGAAAGCATATGAGTGATTCTAGGAACTTACTTTATATCTTTTCCTTTATCTTAACACTGAATGTCACAGACTATGGTAAAGTCGGAAAGGAAATATGCTGGGGGAAGGGGGCTAAGGGCAGAGGGTGAGGATGGAGGGTGGGGTGGGGGGCCGCTGAGGCCTGATCTGATCTTGGTTGGTGTTTCTCGGGCTGTTACTATTCTGATGAAGCTTAGCTTTACTGTCAAGTGAAATACAGGAAACAATTTTTTTAAATGTCATTCTAGTTACTGTAAATGAAACGGTTAAAATGTCACAAATACCTTATGATAAACATTTTTCGAATTTGCTTAAAAGACTGCACATCAGTAAGCAGGGGTATGACAGGGAGCTTTTTCAGTAGTCATTTGGGTGCGTGGGCTTCCTGGGCTAATAATGAGTCAGCACCCAATTTCTAAAATTGGAGCAGCTGAAAGAATATTCGATCTGGCCCCCAAGCACAGCCCGCTGGCTGGCTGGCCCCCTAGGAGGATTTGGCTGTTCAGTCTTTGGATGCGTCTCCTGTTTGGGTGACCCCCTAAGAGGCCCCTTTGCTAAGGGGTCCCTCTGCCAGGATCATCTCCTTTGGCTGATGTTGATAATTTATAGGTTCTGGCTTGTCAGAACTGGTTGTGTATACAGTTTGTTAAATAAGACATCCAGAGTTTATGAGGGACTGGGGTGGCCCTGGGCTGGAGCTGCATCTGGTGTCCTGTGATGTCACCCTCGCTGAGGGATCAGTGGGGAGGGAGGGGGTCACAGCTTGGGCTTCAAAGCTGACATTCTGCATGTGACACAGAGTGTGGGAAGATTGTCGGCTTAAAGTCAGAGAGCAGGATTCCCAGGAGGAAAACCTCTCTCAAACTTTACTCATCTTGTCTATATGGTGGAAGAAATATTAAGAAAATGGAAAAAACAAAAAAATAGCTGGGGTTGTAGTACAGCAGCTTAAGGACCAAAAGCAGTCCTGTTTGAACCCATCCTGCCACTGAGTTCTGTCGGCCTGACCTGGACTGGTTTTTTGGGTTTGGGTGACTGTGGGTGGGGTCCCACATTCTTTGGATCATGGGCCCTGAGGACCCTAATGGTTCTGATAGCTTTGGGCTTCCATGCTGGGACTTACTGTGACATGCTGCGACACTGCCTGCCTCAACAGGCTGCTGAGGCATTCAGAGAGTTAGCACCTGCTTAGAACAGGGTATGGACACAGAAGGGACCCCGTCAATGTCAGCTCTTCTAGCTTCTCTTCTCACCTGGACTCTGAAGGTATTTGGGCTTGAAGCCCCCAAGTTAGCACCAGGATTCTTCAGGCAAGACCCTGTGATTCCATTAATAGTCAGTGGTCATTCCAAGGCCAAAAGGCACAGCCATGCACACATCAGCTCGTGGCTGTGGCAAGGCAGACAGCAGAGATTTCCCAGGTGGGAGACCAGCCCAGTCTGTCTCTCTGGGTAAGGAATCTTTGTGAGTACTCAGAGAAATGCCATCTTCATGGAGAGAAGTACCTGTAAAAGGCAAAACACCTTAGGCAATGCCCTGGTAGTTCTGCATGCCAGCACTTTCTCCTACCCCCATGTAGGGGAATGGGCACGGGATAGGAGGTGTGTTTATTGCTGAACCCTGTGTATTTAAGTCCTCCTGGGTAAGCACTGTTGGGAAATGGCTTTCAGGTGACCACCTTTATCCTAGACACTGACCGTATGCTTTCGGGTAGAATTTGGGCAGTTGTATGGATGCTGAAAGTCGATTCACTTGCTCGTGAGAAATACGCCCGTTGAAGTATTAGTGTCACTGTTGCACTCAGGAGAAAGAGTCACTTAGGCCAGAAATAAGGCATGGGTATGTCTGAAAATAGGGCTTTCACTAACATGATTTGCAGCTTTGTTGTGTTTATCCAGCTACAAAACACGCTGAGTTGAAGTGGATGCAGGCAGGGAGTAAAGAGGGAAACATTCTATACTAGAACCTGAGCAGCTAGTTTAAAAGGAGACCCGCAGGAAAAGGAAAATGCCGACTGTCTGATGATGCTTGGAAGCTGCCCAGGGCCGTGTTGTGGTGGCGCCCTCAGCCTAGAGATTGGCCCTGGGCTTGCTGCCCGATCTCCCTCTCTCCACCTGTCTTCAGCTCCCTGGCATGGGCCCTCATTACCTCCTGCCAAGAGGTTTCCATGTCCCCAGGTGGTGGGCCCACCATGAGTCACTGTGTGGAGAGCTCACCCTCATGTTGGGCAGGTTACTAACTTCCCAGAGTTCCCCCTTCCTCACTGTGAAACGGTGTTAATAAAGAGTGCCAGCCTTGTGGGTTTTCATGAATATCAGTGACGCTTCGAACATGAGTCTACAGGCAGACTCAATAAGTGTTAAGTACACTTTCACTGATTCAGAAATATGCTCAGATGCCTTTCTGACTCTGCCTGGGTCCTGGGCCCTGTGGGCGTCCATAAAGAATTGGCTCTTGTGCCCCTGAAGTGGGGTCCTGTCTGTGTCATCAGTCACACGGAATGTTCTATGTTTGCAGAGCATTCACTAATTAGGCTAATGGGAAGTGCTTCTCGGTTCTTTCCAGGAGAACCTGGGCTTCTGGCTGTCGTGGCCATCATCACCTCCACCATCATTGTCAGCTGTTTGATTCAGCCCCAACCACATGGCAGTAATTCTCTGTGTATTCTTTTTATGCCCCTCCCCACAACATACCCAATACACACCCTGGAAGGTGGGCAGATGGCCAGTTACTCAACTCACTCGAGGTCCAGGATTCCCAGGCAGATGTATGAGGCAGAGTAGCTGCTCCGAGGAGTGTATTGGTGGCAGCGGAGTCCCTCACCCACATCTGGAGGAGAGAGTCAGGAACAGCAGGGCACCAGGAGGGTTCTGCATGTAATCCAGCACACTGAGGCCACAGGCCAGAAAATCCAGGACCACCGTCCTCAGATCTGTCCCCAGGGTGGAAGCAGCTGGATTCTGTACTCGTGCTTCCTGTCTAAAGCCTGCGACAGTCAACTTCTGGTTATTTGAAAATCATCACATTACAGGGAGCTGACTCATATTGAAAATATTAAGTAAGTTACACTTAAAACTAAACCCAGAGTGAACATAATGTGGCCTTTCTTGCCAATTCCGAAGATATTTGAAATCATGGGGTGCCTCTGAAGCAGCTCTCCACACTCACTCTACAGGCTTCTGAGAGGAGCACCAAATGTGTGCTTTTGCTCAGCCTGCCTTCTCTAGGAGTCCCCATCAGAGGAAGGCATCGTGTCTTTTCCACATCTTCTTTCTGAGAGTATAGGCTTTGCATGCTGAGTTTGGGCTGTATTATGTGGGTCAGTTGTAAATGGGGCTGCTTTGTGGGGCGTGTTTTCCTCCAGCTGCCTTGTGTGCTGTAAGCTGGGGACCCTTTCTGCACACAGTGCCATGGGCGAGGTGGCGGTGTGGTGTGCAGGGCAGGGATTGGGTTCCCCACAGGGGCAGGAGGGTTCTGGTTAGACCACAGAGCTCAGGTGAGGAGAAGTCAACAACAGATCAGAAGGAAGGTGGGCCGGCAGGAAGGAGGAGAGGGTGGGAGGCTTGGCTGGTCTCAGAGGATTCTTCTGATTAAAAAATAAAAACCTGGTTTTATTGCATCTTGTAAAATTGGAGAAGCTAATGGTGATGGCAGGTCATATCCATTGCTGTTTGTCCTGCCTATCTTTTGCTTTCAGGATTGATTACCCTGACAAAGAGGGCTTCTGCTTCAGGGGTTTTAGCCCTGCCCTTCACCCTGTCCTTTCAACAATTTATCACAGTTAAAATATTGGTATTTTTAATGATGGCAGAAATGTATTGTTTTAGCTCTTCTCCCTGGACAAATCATATTTAGAGTGTGAAAGGGATGCATGGGTTTCTATCAGTCCAGGTAGATATAGAGGAAATCATTACAGAATGGCAGTGGCTCCAGCAACAGTCAGATTTACTTTCTCTCACACAGAAAAACATAGGAAGCAGGCTGTCCCAGGCAAAGGTCAATGGGCAGCCAGTTCATTCATCTCTCTCCCCTGCCTTCACTGGCAATGGCTTCTTTCCTCAAAGTTGTCTTATGGTTTTATGAAGGCTGCTGGAGCTCCAGCCATTACTTCTGCATTCCGTACATGAGGAAAGAAGGAAGTTGGGGAAGGGTGGAGAGGGGCACAAAAGGTTAAGTGTCCTAGATTTTAGACACCTTTAAAGAGCCTTCCTAGAATCCCCAACTAATCCTTTCTGCCTATATTTTTCATCAGCCACCCTACCTGTAAAAGGGCCTGAAAAAATACAGTGTTTTAAAGGGAGCATATTGCTGCCCTTGATAACTCAGGGATTTTTGACAACACAGGAAGCAGAGAAGAATGAATATAGGATAGGCCACAAGCAGTCTCCACAACAGAATGCTCCTAAAGACAGCTAGCTTTATATTTTATAGTGTCTCAGTCTTGTGAACAGACCTGGGACAAGTCACAGATCCTTTGTGACTAGTGTCTACTTTGTGAAATAA